CCGACGCCTAACCATCGTTGTCTACCTCATCCATCACCTTCCCCTCATACTCGTCCACAAACACCTCTGGAGGAGAAATCTGCGAGTGGTCTAGGGAACGGGCGCGCGCGTACAAGTGTCAACGTACTCTCCCGACGCCGCCGTTGTGTAACAATAGCGAGTTTACGATACCGTGGCCGGCGGCATGACGATCGGCCGTCGTGTCGGCGGTGCGGAACAAATGTGTTTAGGTATGTATGCGCATGCAGTAACGGCGAAACCGTCTTCTAATTGGCAGCGAAAAGTACGTTCGCTTGTCTGCCCAACAGCAAACCCACCACCCAACCACCCACGCTAAGTACACTACCACCACAAACGGCTATCTATATACATCACCACTACCACTACTCTATATAGTGACTATATCATTACACGCCGACGACATAGTCGTCAACAAAGATTAATACGCGGCAACGGAGTAGTAGAACTGCGAAACAAGCTYWCGCTACCGAGTTTGGTGGTGAAGTGGATAGGTGGAAAAGAGAAGGACCTTCTCCGAACGCTCGGAAAATTCAATTACGTAATATACCTAGTTTCCGAAAACCACAAAATGCAATAATTCCCTGCGCATAGGGACAAATGGTGAGTCGCGTATTATTACTACTCTCCCCTCGTTAGACTTGTGATTTATGTAAGATTTCTCGTGAACCACTAAACGATTTAATGTCACACCGATTAAAGCTGGAAAACTTTTATCGAGCTTGGCTCGTTCGTTAAGTAGCGCGTGATTTGATTCGTCAACGTGTTTATACTCGATACTAGTTTAGTGAAAATAATAACGAATGCATTGTTTTCGAATTAAAAATCGTACTGTGTACAAAACTAAATTAACAAACACGCGATTTACTGAAGTTATTTAATAAAAATTAATTTGGATAAAATAATGAAATTAATGAATTTAAATAGGCAGTGATGAGCTTAGTATAGACTTAAACAATAGTATTGACTAAATGACTAATGAATCAGTAATGATCAATGCCTAAAGAATTAGTATTAATCAAATAATGTGTACCTCACCTTCCACAATATCAAAGTAAAAGTAAGCCCCATGTAAAATTAGATAAGAAAATAAATAAGACAGAAAAATACATAAGATTATGAAAACATATGAATACAAATTAACACTAACTAAGCATTTCTAATCAAAAACCTAAACTCTTTTAACGCGTGTATACCACTAAAAAATTATCTAGTGTAATGTATGAAAAGAAACACTGTTATTACTATTTAAATATACGTATTTACATCAAAATATATAATTCCTTTGAAATATGAGCRTAATATAACTCGCATAAATGCATAATAATAATTCAACAGATATCTAATACCTACTTGGCATAAATTATTTAAATTTTAAACACAACTCATTGTTCCACTTTCTCATTATTCCTCGTTGTTATTTAACTAAATTATTAAAATAATGCAACAATATAATAATTAAAACATGTATTATCTTAGAACATAGATTAGAGGATCAAAAAAATATACGTACCTAYTAATTTTGTAGCAAAATGGCAACAAACAAATTTAAAAGAAATAAAATTAGAACTTTATTTTTAAAAATTACCTTTTTAAAATTCCATCTATAATATCTTAATATTTAAACATTAAAAATGCTGATATCGGGTTAAAAAAGAGTTGAAAATATACCATTCGTATTTAAAAATAATCAAGTGTATTTCAATCTACAAAATCAGTACGATATACAAGTATATGTTTTTAAAGAGTTCATTAGTGATTTCTTATGTTTAVCGAACAAAAAAATCAACTCTTTGACCTGTAATTTTATCCATCCCAAGAGAATCGAGATCAATATCCGTCACTTTTTGCTCGGACTATCATCATTCCTTTACTAACGGCAATTTAAAGCAACCCCACCCGTGTGAACGACTAACGCTTGCGTAAAACCTAATGTCGTTATAAAAAAACTCATGATAAGATAGTAAATTAAACTTTATCTCAAAAAATAAATAATTGACTATATCAAAATAATGCAAAATTTCAATGGTAAAAATCTAACACAATTTTTAAATAAATTAAAATATAGAATCATTTTTTACAACATATACTTGAGAAACAAAATGTTTATTTTGATGTTAATTAGTGAGTTTTCATGGTATTTAAAAACTAATATATATGTGTGCAAGGAACATCATCTCGATTACGCACACAGAAATATTATTATCAAACAATATTGAAACCTATATATACATACCAGTAAATTATGTCAAAATTMATTATACATACGCCATATAATATACACTAAAATGAATTATAAAATGTGTAACACCATTTCACAAATTAAGAGTACTTCGTTAAGTTTTAATAAATGTTTGATTTCCATCCAAACACAAAACAAAATATTTGATCGACGTTAATACAAAAACCAAAAACCAATAACACAAACACAAACATAAAACGCTTATAAAAAGTCGTCTGAAATATGAACGATTAGATTGTCACTGACAAGAGTATTAAACCTAGAAATAGTAATAAGTATTTGTTGCTACTAACATTTAACACATCATTATACCTTTCATTTTTGTTTAATCAATTAATAGAAGATTTTTGGATTAGAAATCTAGAATGTATTATTGAAAATATTACTATTTTAAATTTAAGATCTGATYAGTGATCATTATTGCTATTTTTTAACCTTGTAGAAATTATAATTGCTCAAACACAATTCATTATCGTTATTGTTAAATTAAAATTGTAATTAATTATGTATAATTAAGTCAATTTAATGGTTAACCAAAATAATAAATTTAATATTRTCAACGAAACTCGTCATATGAAAACAAACCAAAATATCGGTTGGACGCCAACTTAAGAATATGTAGTTCATGAGAAGGTATAAACATCTTACTATTTTTGTCAGAGAAAAAAATGCCCAATATTTTTCCTGTATTTCCCACTGGCAAAAATTTCACTTGACGACAAAATATTTACTACTATGCTGGCAACAGCAAGTGTGAAGGCTGACATATTTATATGCGTATAATAAAAATGCTTATTGGYGAAAATTTTAATGCTTGGCACGAGTATATTGAAAAAGAAAATATGTAAACATAAGAGTTCGATAAATCGGATAAAAAGTGTGGAATTAAAAATAATAGTAATAATACCTAGTAAAAATTTTTAGAATAAAGCAAAATCAAGGTATACATATCAAATTGTTCACATGAATGCATATAAATATTTCACATAAAAATGGAAATTATTGGCAATATAACCACTGTAAAATCTTAAGGTAATAATAGGCAGTATAAATAAAGGCACTATAAATGTTGTATACTATATTGAGCATTGAGAAATGAGAATTAATTATCTTGTTGTTTTGAAAGAGGATTTTAAAAGATTAAATTGTAATTCGTTCGAAATTTATCAGACCTGTGCTGGATAAAAAAAACCCGTCAAAAAGTATTTTTTTCATATTACCACACTTTCTAATATTACTTATCGGCAGGTTCTCCAGACAATGAAATCATGGTCATCGCTCAATAAATTTAATAAATTCTGTGTAACAAATAACAATATGTCAATATAAATACATCAATAGATATGATTAATAGTAATGTAATACAAGAGTACCTACATCTCAAATACAATAATAATAAAAAAATATTAMTAACAATTTCAAATTTAAATTTTATTAGTATTTTACAAGTGGAAATATGTATGCAGGTATATTTGACAAATTACAATATTAAACTTTTATTAATTAATCATTACTTATAATACGGTTCGACTGAGATACATTTCAACAAAATAGTTTAGGGAAGGGTATGTAATGTATCGAATGAAAGAAAAATCATTGTATCATAATATTTCACCATTTTT